GCGTAGGAGCGTATAATACATAATGTTCTTGCCGCCCCTTAGAATGTACAAGGTTTCGGTTCGTACATCCATCTCCCGCGTCATAAGCACGCCGACTAAAACATCGTCGATTTTTCTTGCATAGGTGTTACGTGTTTTTGATAAATGGCTACCCGCGCGATCTCTCTCCTCCTCCTTCCGCCTTCCCTTCCTCTTTCTCGGCCTTCTTTCGACATCATTGTTCCCGAAACGTACTAATATGCACTTTCCACAACCGCATCCGAAAGGCTGATATTCGCCAGTTTAACAAGAATGTGCTATTCTCTCTTCTTTCTTTCTTATTGTCAGTTTGTCTTTTATTCATTCTTTCGAGTTAAAAAAAAAGACTTTTCGAGAAGCTTGGGAAAAATAATAGATTGCTCGGATGCAAAGATTGCATAAGATTAATATCTATGAAGTCAATTTTTTTCTCCTCTCTTTAGCTAAACTTCTCTATTTTCAATATTACATGTTTATGTTTTACTACAAACTCTATACATTTTTATCTATATTATGTTATATGTTTTTATAATAAAATCTTCAATTAAAATTTTGTTGAAGTCCATATAAAGTTAACTGGAAAATACTATTTGCCATTTATCTTTCATAAAAGAACGAGTGTTAAAATTTTTTTTTTTTAAGAAAAGGATTATCTCAAAATTAGGCGAGAAAATTCGTCATGAAAACATAACACTGTAAACCAAAAATGCCATATAGCAGTCTAAAATTGTATCATAAGTTTATCAGTTATGGATTTATAATAATATTTAAATTTTAATAGTTGAGGGCGATATAATTAAGTTTCGCGTTAAATTCTCATTAAGGAAAATCGACTTGACACTGAAAACTGAGGGAAAACTTCTGTTGTACAAGTTTTTATACCCTATATTTATGATTGAAAGAAGGCGAATATATAAATTTTCTAAGAGAGAGAAAGAGAGAGAAAGAGAGATATCATTGCAATTTTGTCGTTTGATTAAAAGTACTTTTTTATTGGTTATTGATTGGTACTAATATGCCTATTTTGCACGTGTGGCGCGGATGTTATCGATCATTCGCTTTACGACCAATAGGACTTGATGATCGCAGCAGGAGGCTATCCGGGGCGAGGATATCGGCAGGATGAGCAAATGACTGGCGCAGCACGCGATCTTCTATTACTTACCGCGTTAATTGATATTGATGTGACGCAGTCCCTTTCGAGAAAGCTGATCGATATTAATGCGACGCGCCTTATGGCATTAATGAAGAAATAATGCTAGTTACACATTAAATTCGCTTTCCGATATTCTGTTTTTTGTTAATTATTGTATCAATCTCGACCTCTCGATAATACTTTATATAATTCCATTTTTGATAATAGGAAAATATGATGTTAAAAAAATAATCAGCGTTTAAATAATAAAAAAAAGTTGAATCATTATAATTCATAATTAATAAAATAATTGAATTGTTATAATTTACTTATTAAAAAAAAGTTGATCCATTATGTTTTCTCTCAAGAAAATTCACTTCATATCTTATACATTTTAAAGCAACGCCATGTGTCTGGTGTTTCCTCCAAGCCTATACGTATCGTGTAGGCTTGGAGGAAACGAATATATATTTAATCGAATATATATTTAAATATATTCGATGATTTTAGCTATGGATAAATTAAAAAAAAAAAAAAAAAAAACATTCCATGGAATTTTTTCGATCTCCGCGATTTAAACAAGTTGAAGACGAAGATGAAGAAAAAGAATAAAGAGGCGAGAGGTGATAGGTCGGAAGGAACTTATCAAGCGCATCACCTTGTTTCTAGCAATTAGTCATGATCGACGTCACGCGCCGAGTGTTTCTAAAGTCCATCGCGACTAATTGCCGCGAAGGCGACGGCCACGAAGTAGCCATCGGAAATTTGTCAATTGCAGGTAACTTTGGCTCGTTCCGCGCACAGTTTCCTCGCAGATGTTCCTGATAGGCCAAAGTTACGGGCTACGCTTGCGGAGCACCTTACTTCGACGGCCGTTCCCTTGTACACCAATTTCTTTATCCCCCTTGTCTCCTCCCCGCACATACCCCTCACCATCTCACTCTACCTTCTCCCAAGTCACCTCCGTTACTTTCTTTGTTTTCTTTCGCTGTCAAATGTCGCAATCGTAAAATCGATACGCTACACCTACAGCTAAATCCAGAGGGAATTCAGACATAGATTTGAAACCTCAAAAATCAGAAATTATTATCTACTATTATTTTCAGACATGGTTCACTGTAATTTTTATCAAAGAAACTCTCGAGAAAATACTATTATTATATATCTATACATCGTACTATGCATATATTCACTTTACCCATCGGACGATATCTCTTATCATTTTCGGTTACGCTAAAAATTAAACTTACTTTAAAGATGCGTCGATTTTTAAATCGTTTTAATTGTCGATGTTAACATTTAGAGAAATATGACAGTTACGTTAACAAAATTTAAAAAATATAACAGCAAATTTGTTTCGAGTAACGAAAACACCAACTCATTAAGTGTATTGCTACATGGGGAAGTACTTCGAAGATGACAGGAACCATTAGTGAGTAACTAATTGAGGGATTTGAAGGTAAAACCCGGTAAACTCGAGTAACTGACATTTATGCAAATGTCAGTTACCTGATTTTACGTCCGAACCCCTTAATTAAACACAGTTGTCAGATGGCTATTCTAAAAACTTAACTAAAAAGTCGCGAGTCAAAGGAAATCATACATAACTATATGTAATAATTGTATGTAAGTAACAATTACGTCGTTTTTTAATAACTGATTTCGAAATTTGATATAGTGATCTAATATCTTCATTCGTGGATAGACTGAAGATTTTAGTGCCTGTATATTTAAAACAGAATTTAAGAGAGAAATTATTTTTTTATTCCAACCAATTACTTTAATATATGAATAAAATGGAAAAATACGTTTTCATCGTTAGATGTAAAATACATATAATAATTTATTTACGAAACTAAGAGAACTCCTTTGCTTCTCGCATACAATTATTCTTTTAAAAATCTGCAAGCATTTCCATATATATTCTTACATAGATATAATGCAGTATATATACATATATTTCTCCCCCACATCTCTCTCTCTCTCTCTCTCTCTCTCTCAATTCTCTACTGTTCCCATTTAAAAACTGTTTTAAGTCCATTTAAAAACCTCTCTCAAACCCTATTCAAAGCTACACTCCTAGCTGGACACGGTCCGGCAGCGTTTTGCTATTTTCTCAGGACTCTCGCATTGCGCGTCGCGATGCGTCGCATCACGTTGTCGGCCGGATCTCGCGCGTCGGCCACGTGACGTGGCACGTATACGCGAGCGTCGGCAGGCGTCGAGACGCTGCCGGAAAAGGGGCGTCCGCGGCTTTATGCTCCCGTTGGGAATTCCGTTCTCATGCCTCACGGCGTTTCGTTTCACGTCGACGTCCCGCCGCTGTACGTGAAACTACCGTGTCACACATACACGCATGCACGCGCGCGCGCGCACGTTCAAAGCCGCGCTGTCAGACCGGACACGAAACTTTGCTGGATCGCCTGCCGTGATCCGCGAGTCACGTGACGCGATACGCGTGTCAGGATCGGCTCCGCGAGACGATCGCGTGTGCAGATGTATTAGCAGATTGTTGTTGCAATTTAACGTTATGTGATTAGCGTGGTACACGGTACGTGTAGCACTTAGCAAATTGGTTCAAATCAAATGTTAACGGATGTTTGAAGATATTTATGGCACCTCAATTAAAAAATATTTGCATTTGAAAGTATATTTTATATCGTCGAGTTTCTCTCTAGTTTATATAGAAACATATTTTAAAAGAGGCATATATTTGAGAGATAGTGAAGATATAAATAATATAATATATATTTTAAATCTTAAATTTTCGAATTTGGAATGCATAAATTTGTGAAGATTTTTTAAATCTGAGGATATATATCTAAATTTAAAAACATTTGTAGAATAATACGTGTGTATTCGTATTTTCATATAACAATATTTTTATAAATCAAGATACAGTAGAACTTCGTGAATTTTTGCCCTCTGGCGGATAGACAATTTTTGGAAAACAAAAAATAACGAATACTTTTACCACAATATAAACTTCTTAATCTCCATGCATTTGCGCAAATGTAATTGCGTGCCCAAAGTTGTTGTCTAAAAATATTAATATTCGTGAAAGAACACGAGGAAGGAATACTAAAATTAACGCGCGCATGCGAAGACAAATTTAAAGAAATTCTATTGTATAGTAATTTAATCCTTAATTGATGAAATCGTGCTAATGGCAATATCACAAACTTAATATAATTTTTATTTATCAATACGATTTATACAGATTAAATCACGTGCTATTGATTTGTCTAGTTTCAATGGAAACAAACAATACAAATCATCCTATAAATCTAATTCTAGTAAGATTCCAAGAGATAAGATACTAAAAATTGTACACAAAACTCTTGGCTCTTGATAAAAATGGAAATAAAACCGATTAAAAGGATTTTGTTAAAATTACAAGACTCAAAAGACAACATTTTAATCGTATCATCTTATGCACATGTGTAAAGTTTTCTTTACATTATTTACATTGTATTATTATATAACAATGTTTTGTATACCGTGTGGTGTAAAAAAATTCCGTATAGTATCTGATGAGAACTAAATCCGCAAAAAAAAAAAGATCAGATTTAAACATCGCGCAACGAGATCCTTTTGGCAAAGGAGCAGTGTAAATTTTATCGTGAAATTGGAGCGTTATCGCGCATCCAAAGTACGCATACGAGCACTCTCGAATTTAAGGATGCTCGAACAACTGTTGCGTGCATCCTTCGCAGCTTCTTCCGCGTCGTCTCACCTTCCGCTCGACTGCACGCGCAGCATGCGTCGCGACACATCGCAGCCGCGTCGCTCCGGAATATGCGCGGCGGGCTCCCGCGTGCGAGAGGTCGCCGCGGGCGTCGGACACGGGGAACCTGACGTCGGGGCGCGCGACGTCGCGGCGCGGGTGCCGAGCCCCGCGTCGTCAGTTTGCGTCTGTCTAGGGTCGCGACACCTCCACTTCCACGTACTATAGGTACTGCGACTCGCGTCTCCGCTTCGCGTACGCGATTGAATCAACGACGGCAACGACGAGGAACGCCAGCAATCGTATCGCTCAAGATCAAGATCAACGGATCGACAAGTCACGTGCTCGATCTCTGCGAACGTCCTGCGCCGCCGGTCGTTCTCCGTTTTGGCGATCGGCTGGCCTCGAGAAAGTTTGAGAGAATCCTCGAGCTTTTTGAGAGGACCCAAGTATCCTCAGAACTCTCTCGGAATTTTTGAGAATTCTTGGAGAAGTCTGTGAGACACGAGTCGAAACTCTGCGTAACACTTTGAAGAAGCTCGGAGCATCTGAGATATCTCACATAAGTTTAAAGCATTTGCGGACAAGTTTACGAGAGATGGTAAACTGGTCTGTAAAAAGCATGACAAAAGTCGCAAGTTTTTGAAGAACTAGATCCTGTGTAATTTTAAGGTGCGTAAAAGAACAGTCGGGAAGTGTTATCAAGAATCACACCGACAACTTTCAGAAACTTTCAAGAATCTTTGAACATTTTTGTAAATCAGAAATTTTTTAGCGATCTGCGAAGATCTCGAAGGATTTACGAGATTTCAGTTTCAAAACGTCTCGAGGACCGTTCCAAGATTACCGAATAACTTTTTGCATCGCGCAGATTTTTAGTCACGTGGTCGGAGAGTTTTCAAACTTTTAAAAATCTACGCGTTAAATACGTGTGTTGTGTTTTATAACATTCGGGGAAGACTATTTTCAGTTTCGTTTCATGATTCTTTTATAGAATCTGAGAAAAAATTATTCGATCGATGTAAATTTGATTAAAAGTGATCAATATAAAGACTTAACGTAGTGTCTCGCACGTTTTGCGATTTATCAACCGATTATTCAGGACATTTTACAGTATCTCTAACGCAAATTTTCAATCCTGACGAATGTTTCTTTAGAAATCCATTCGAATCTTTGCTGTAGGATATTTTTGCTTCGCGCCTCGAGAATTTTAAAAGTGAAAGAGCTTGACATTTAACTGGCCTTTGGTTATCCTGCCCCATCATGACCCCGAAGAATTATATTTGAAAAGTCTTGAATACGGTAAAAACGACATAAGTGGAATTATCGAAGACCAGTAAGACTTTGAAGTTGATCGATCTGCAGCCAGATATTTTTGAGAAATCGGCAAATTCAATTCAGCGACTGGGGAGACAGAGTTAGATGGATCTGTTTTGATATCCGACAGAATTATTTTCTCTCTACTGCAGTATTTTTGGTGAGTACTGGCAATCTTTAATTATATTTACGTTCAAAATAGAACAAATGTTGAATATCTCTCACCACTTTTAAAAGTTATTTGCTATATATAATATAAATAAAAAAATAGAATATATATAATATTTATATTATTGATATTATTAATATATTAACAATATAAATAAATTTATATATATGAATTATATAAATTTTTAAGAGAAAATATTTTTATGTCTAGAAAAGAGAGATTTTGATTATTTATAAACGAATAATTTATAATTATTTAGCTGATTACGCAATTTTTATATATTTAGGTAAGTGGGTGTTTTGTCTGTTATATAAAGAATCTTCATATTTATATAGATTGTAACTGTTCTAAAATTTAAGGGTTAAAATTGGAAAAATATTTTTCGTTAATCAACGTTCAATCCAAACATTCAAGTACATAAAATCCAAAAACGGATTCATGAATTTTTATCGTGTAATTTATTACATACCCTATGTTACATTCTCGAATATGCATCGCCTGGTATTGTCACTTGTTTCGAGCGACGTAGTGTTTTACATAGTAATAACATAAATATTCAACTATCTGCAAATGTAAATATTTCAAGCACCGCAGTAATAAAATAAATATCCGGATAACGCTTCAAATATATTCGCGGATATACCTATTTAGCCATTCTATAAAAGTTACGACACCAAACGATTCCAAGAAACGTGGATATGGAAAAGCAAAAAGAATATCTATTCGCACATATCAAATCTAAAAATTTCACGTGCACAAAATTCAAACGCATTTACGGATTCGCGAGTTTTAATCGCGTCATTTATTACACATGCCACACGTTATATCTTCGAATATACACCGCATCGTATTGTCGCTTGTTTCAAGCAACGAGTCAGATTACTGCTGAGTGAACTTTACAACTTAATTCTGTTTCGCATCGCGCAGCTGCGAATATCAGTCTACAGTCTACACGATTGCTCGCGAGCTTTACGCGCTTTACTCGCAAAATCTCGGCTCGGCGCGGCTCATACAAAACTTGACGCTAAACTCCCGTATTACCATTGTCGTTTGCTTTCATAGACTAGACTAGACGGGCACCCTCTCGCTGTACTAAAACGCCGGAAAATTCGTTATCAATTTCTGCTTATCGGGACGTGCCGTCGCTCCCGAATAAGGACTCGTTTATCCGCTCGGACGAGCACTGAAAGCGCGCGCGAGGATTAACTTGAAATCAGCGCCGCAGCGTGTACTGATTACGAACAATTGCAATTAAATTCTTTCCACGCTAATGACTGCTGGCACTTGAGCTCCGTGCAAATGATATTTAAATTAGCACGCGTCCCGTATACTAATCAAGTTAAACCTCCTCGCGCCGCGGACGTGCTCTCTTTCTGCCGAATTATTAATTAATGTCGCATTACGATCATATCAACTTCGCGTGAGTTCCGACAAAAATCGGGTACTCGGCCCCAGATTGATCGAATAGCAATTTTCATAATCTTGTTCAAAGTTATCATTAATATTATATTTAAATATTCATATAAATTCTCTCTAAATTTCAATAAGTTTCAAAGATAAGATACAAAGCATGAATAAAGAAATTTTAATATTAACAATCAATTTTATATTTTAATCACACATAATACAACATATAAAACAATTTGATTTTATATGTTATATACTCATTATATACATATATGTATAATTTAAATTGTTTATAAAAAGTTAAAAATTCTTCTAAATTAATTCTTTATTAACTTTATAAAATGTGTTTTATAATGAGCGATTAAAAATGATTGATTTTAATATTTATTCTGAAATTAGAAGATTAGACAGAAATGTTTCACTTAGAATCGGGAACTGTATCAAATTATTTCAGACTATATCGAACTATTTTGGACTCACGTTTCGCGGCCGCTTACGTCAAGGTGAAGAAAATATTTCACGCGGTTTATTAGTAGTATGTTTACGAAATGAGGATGGTTCTTTTAAGAAACCGTTAAACAATTGCGATTGTTTATCCAAGGCCTTCGTAAACGTTGCAGTTGCCCGCCAAACCAACTACTCGCCAATATCTATCCACAAAAATAGTTTTTCAGTAGCCCAAGAAAAATAATCGATCGTGTGAAATCGATGTTAACCAAAAGCTTCGTTTCGCATGCGCATGCAGAAGAAAATTCTCGGAAAAAATCAATAATAATAATCACTTGTATTAAAAAATAGTCGGAGGCAACAAAAATTACTATTAAGCTCTCTCAGAGAATGAGGGTTTTGCGCAAAATATATTTAATTAATTGTGCGCGCCTGCATAATCAAAATTCAGCCTCGATAGATTATCTAAAATAAAAAATAGATTATTTTTATCATTATACTTGTGTATATGGAGCGAACTTTTTTATTTTTCCAGAGAAAATATTAAAATGCAAATAACAGAAACCAAACAATGATACACGATATTTAAAGATTAAGAGATCTCTTATTAATATAATTACTAAAATATTTAATGCTAATGTTTAAAATCCTATTTAATTCAATTTTTTAAAAGAAGATACGATCCATAAAGAATCAATATGCAGATGAAAAACAAACGCGAAATATGAAATAAACGAATAATCCATTTCGTGTTTCTCTTTTTTTATGGAAATACATCAATATAAGCTCATATATGTTCAGAACGTGCTAACAAAGTTTCACATATCTGTCGAATATCAATGGATGGTTTCAAAGCATATTCCAACACAATTGGTTAATCGCAGATATAGAATTTCGCGAAAATGTGTGAATGTGGAGAGTTCACCAATTCTCGATTTCTTGAATTTTTATATAAATGTTTTATAATTTTAGACAATAAATATTGTTAATCTCCTTTCAATAACTGTTGTCGACAAATAGATAAAAGAATGTAACGCTTTTATTACGTATAAAAAATATCAAGATTGTTATAATTTCTTAAAATGTAAAATATATATTACATATGTTTATATATGTATATATTCTGATTACGCATTTTGTGTGACTTATTCCATATAAGATTTGACACATTAATAGTTTTATATTATAATAATAAAATGATTGGGATAATGCAGGTAAAACATACTGCATAGTATATAGATAAATGTAAATGATCTTTCGAGGATCCTCTTAATCTGTGTGAAATATTCGAGAATTCTGTTGATATAGCATAACAGATATTTGTATTTATAATATTATATATGAACTGGAATGACAAATTTCTACATGGAGAACAAAATGCTATAACATAATCTAAATAGTGGTAAACGTAGTTACATTCCAACTGCGCAGAAGTGCATCTCGAATACAGTTGGTCGGCTGCGCAACATTCCGCAATAGCTGCGGTCATTTTGAACACGCTGGGTTAGCCAGGAATGTTAATAGAAAATAGTCGGTGTCTCCAGACTTTAATTATGAGGCGCGAATGGAGATCGCGAGCGAGGGAGTCAGGTAGAATGAGAAGGGAAGGAAAGGAAGGATGGGGTGGAAACGGACTGGCGCAAGAAGGAAGAAGGGTAAGATTCTCCCTCGTGATGTCTCGAATTACAGAGGGTGAAAATCGTGGCGTTTGTTCGACAGAAGCATCGCGTTTACAGCGAAGAAAGTGTTGAGAATTGGCAAGATCTCGGACTATTCGCACGACTATTGGAATAAAATGGCGATCTCGGTAGAATTCTGGGCGTTTTAGAGAAAATACGTCGCGGATGGATAGAAACAGGAAATTCCTGGAAAATGAGGTAAACGCGAGAAAATCCGAAAAATGAAAGATATGAAAAACTAAGGCGAATTGTGGAAAATATTGAGAATGAGAGAAATAGAAGGAGAAGATAGGCGTCATTGATGGAAGCCATCGTAAGTTTCTCCTTCTTTTCTTCGTGCGACTTTAGCCGGATCGATTTTTGAGGGGTTGATCTTCGAAACGAGCCGCTAGTACCGCAACGTTAAATCCGCGATTAAAATGCATTGCGTAAAATCAGAAGGGCGGCCTACGCTCCGTTCCGTTCCTGCGCACCGAGTAAATTACATACCGTCGTCAATCCGGCTCGGATTTCTCCAAAGCCTCGGGTTCACGCCAGACATAGCAAAGCGGAACAAGGGGAAGTAAAATGGTGCAAAGCGCAACGAAGCAAGTGGAGGAAGGAATATAGAAACGTAACATTCCAACAAGAAGCAAAGTAAACTAAAGCCAAGAAGCGAATCAAGAAAAATGAGAAAAGTAAAGTATAATCCAAATATGAGACAAAATAAAGCGAAGCGAAATAAAGGAAGATTAAAAGAAACGAAGCAATGTGCAAAATAAGCTGATGTATAGGAGCACAGAGCAAAAATTAGAGCAAGACAAAATAAATTAAAGAGAAATTGGATGAGGAGAGCAAAGCACGAGGAAAGTAAAGTAAAGCGAAATAATGCGAAGAAAATTAAAAGAAGCGAAGCAACGCAAGGCGAGCATAAAGTAAAAATAGAGCAATATATCTTATAATAGAGCCATATATAGGGTAATAAACTGTAAAATAAAACAAAATATATTGAAGTTGATAAACGACATACAAAAATATGAAAAAGAGGGGAAAAAACTGAAAACTAAAAACAATACAACAATACAATGCAAAACAAGAGAATGTGGTAGATATAATTACATTATATATTATTTCATTAATTCTCAGTATTTCTGTTATCGAAAATATTTTGTGGAAACTAGAATATTGGATTAATTGAATAAAGGATTTAGAGAAGAGATATAAATCTCTTTTATTTTTGATATCGATTACCTATATCAAATAATTTAAATAATATAAAAAATTTACAACAATCAATAACATGATGAAACACGGTATAACGCATGCAAGAAGATTAAAAGAGATTAAATGTTATTGTGCATGTATTAACTAATATAATATGTTATATTTATGCGCTAGTAATTGTTTAACACAATTTTCGAAAATAATCGAGATAATATCTATATTATTTAGACAAATATAAAAGCGTTGTTCCGGGCG